TTTTGAGCTTATGCTAAGGTTATATTATTTTTATATATTTTTGCCAACATTGAATCCTTTTTGCTTCTAACTATTGACTTACATAGTAGGTTTATAAGTTTCACCTGTTTTTCTTGGTCTAGCCTGACTACAAGTTTTATCTTCTCTCTTCACCCCACTTTTTAAGGTCCAAGAATCTGCCTTGTGCCCCCTGGAATCTCCTTGCTGTGTCACCAGCGTCTTCCTGGTTGCCACATCCCGAGGGCACTCAGCATTGCCCCAGTGGCCCCTGCCGTACCCCTGAGAGTCTGTCCTCCCATGCTGTGTCACGTGTCTGGTTCCCCTCCACCCCCTCCTCTGGGCCCTGTGATCCTCCTGCACAGCCCTCCCACTGCTGGCCTCTAAGACCTTGTTCTCACCCGGGGTTCTGTATGAGCCAGGCTTCCCATCGCTAGGACGAAACACCTGAGAAAACCAACTTTACAGAGGGCAGAGGTTTACTCAGCTCAAGGATCCGCAGGTGCCATCCCGAGGCTGGTTTGGCCTCTGGTGAGGATGGCAGCGGTGGAGTTCAGGTGGAGGGAGGACGCTGCGAGGCTGGGCCCCTCTCAGCTTTCAGCAGCAGCCCTCATTGCGCAGCCCTTTCTGAGGGCACGTCCCTGGTCACCTGAGGACCTTTCCCAGGTTTGCCAACTAAACAGCATCACTAAGTTTAGCTTTCTTAGTACCATCAGTTTATGAGTTTGGGGTTTAAATATCTACAGGTGGGGGCCGGTGCTGTGGCATAGCAGGTAAAGCCACCACCTGCAGTGCTGGCATCCCACATGGGTGCCGGTTCAAGTCCTGGCTGCTGCACTTCCAATCCAGCTCTCTGCTATGGCCTGGGAAAGCAGAAGATGGCCCAAGTGCTTGGGCCTATGCACCCACGTGGGAGACCCAGAAGAAGCTCCTAGCTTTGGATCTGCCCAGCTCAGCCATTGCGGCCATTTGGGGAGTGAACCAGCAGATGGAGGACCACTCTCTCTCTCTCTGTAACTCTGCCTTTGAAATAAGTCTTTAAAAGTAACTAACTACAGGTGTTGGGGAACCAAATGTCGTGTAAGCCACAGCAGTGCTGTGCTCTTTCCTTCACCTGCCCAAGCTTTCTGACTGGGCCCCACCAGCTCTTTCTCCAGAGCTTGCAAACCACGGGCCCAGTGGCAACCAGATGTTTCCCCCGGGGTGAGCCATGAGAGCCCTAACTCATCACGCAGACTGGAGCAGTGCCTGCTCCCTGCTGAGCCTGCTTCCCTACCTGTGTTCTCGCTATCTTCCTAAATATTTGTTTTGTCGCGAAAGCCAGAAATAGGGGTGCATCTGTGACTCCCACCTCTCAATCCTGGCATCAAATCATTAAGTCGTGACCATCGCCTAAATAACTTCCAAGTGTCTTCTCCATCCCTGCTGCTGTGCAGTGCGCCAGGCTGTCACTGCCTGCAGCAGCCTCCCTCCGGAGCAGCTGCCCGTCTCCAGGCTGAGCCCCCTTGGCCCATCCTTTACCTGCCACTGACAGGGCGAGGTCACTCTGTTCTAAGCTGTTCCTTCCGCTTGACACACAAGACCCCTTATTGTCTCCCAAGTCTGCCGATTTCATCTCATCCCCGTTACTCTCCCCACCAACACTCTTTAGTGCCCTGAACTGTCCATGCTTTCACCTGCTCACAGCGGGAAGCTCGCGAGGAGCCAGGGAAAGGCTCCAGAGGGATGGGGCTGTGGAGCTGAGCCGTGCGGGACGAGGAGGAGTGCACCACGTGGGACCCGTGCAGCAGAAGCTGTGCACTTGGGACCGTGGTGCCTGATCTCAAGTGGTTTCCCCTTTTGTGGGAGACAGGCGTATACACACCTGCAGGATTTGTGACGCACTGGATTAGAACTTTGTACCAACAGCAGCCAGAAGACAATGAAGGAGAGACCCTTGAGTGTGAAAAAATGTTCTCAGCTCAGTTAGGAAAAAATAAAGGTGACACTGGCTGTCTCAGTGCTTGCAGGCTGCTACAATAAATTTCCATAGCCTGGGTGGCTTATAAACAACAGAGATCTGTCGCTCACAGTTCTGGAGGCTGGCATGTCCAAGTGCAAGGTGCTGGCGGATTCGGTGTCTGGTGTGGGCTTCCTGTTGCATAGACAGGGCCTTTGTGTTAAGTCCTCATGTGGCAGAAGGGATGTTAAAAATCAAGTGCTAATGTCAGTTTTTGAGTTTTGATAAATGGTGGTCATACCGGATGTTAGCATTAGGGGCAGTTGGGTAAGGAAATAGAAAGGCATTGAACACTTAGAAGTTTATTAAAGAAAAGATTAGCAGCTCCATTTTCCTTATGCTAGAGACCAAAATGCTTAACTAGCTTCCTCTCTCCAGGCAGACTGGACCTTTTAATTCTTCCAGTGAGGTTAATGTTTGCCTTGTCTCCAAGTTCGAAGTATTCAGTGTCTGGAGATTAGTAAATGCTTGATAAAAATTGGTTGAGAAGTAACAAATGTTGCACTTTGTTTTTGCAGATTTGTTGATTTATCTGAAAGAGTTAACATGGCGAGAAGGAAGGGGAGAGAGAGAGAGAGAGAGAGAGATATCACCAGGCTGGTTCACCTCCCAGATGGCCACAATAGTCAGAACTGAACCAGGCTGAAGCCAGGAGCTTCATCCAGGTCTCCCACCTGAGTGCAGGGGCCCAAACTTTTGGGCCATCTTCTGCTGCTTTTCCCAGGTCATCAGCTGGGAGCTGGATCAGAAGCAGAGCAGCCAGGAGACAAACTGGTCCCCATATGGGATGCCAGTGTCACTGGCAGCAGCTTTAACTGCTATGCCCCCAACTGTTGCACTTTAAAAATAACAGGGGCTGGCACCGTGGCTCACTTGGTTAATCCTCCGCCTGGCATCCCATATGGACACCAGGTTCTAGTCCCAGTTGCTCCTCTTCCAGTCCGGCTCTCTGCTGTGGCCCGGGAAGTGTCGCTCCCCCTCTTTGCGGAGGAATGACACAGGACCCTGCGCTGTTCTTTTGTCTGCTCGCCCCTTCCCGGGTTTGCTGCTGGTTCTTCCCAGGTTGGCTGCCGTCCCTCCACCTCCGTGGAGGGGCGGGCCCCCCTGCCACTTTCCCCACTTCCGCGGGGGAGCGGCACACCGCTGGCCGGCTCTCTCGGGGGCTGCTCAGATGTTATTCGGATGTTCCCCTTAGATGTTCCTGGTGCATGTTGTCTCTCTCCTCCTTTATAGTCCTCTTCCACCAATCCCAACTCTGCTACCCACACGCCGAGTATGCTGCTCTCCTCCAATCAGGAGCAGGTCCTGCAGTTTATTGGTTGAACTGGAGGCAGCTGCGTAGAAGCTGTTTCCTCCTCTCCCAGCGCCATATTGTGGGAGAGCAGATGCATAGAGTAAGTCTTAATTCCAGTAACTTAGTCTAGTCCGAGTTGCTCCCCACAGGGAAGGAAGTGGAGGATGGCCCAAGTGCTTGGGTCCCTGCACCCGCTTGGGAGACCAGGAGGTGGCACCTGGCTCCTGATTGGCATAGTTCTGGCCGTAGCAGCCATCTGGGGGGTGAAGTAGTGGAAGGAAGACCTTTCTCTCTGTCAAATGAAAATAACAAATGTAAATTTGTGACTGAGTTTGGGCATTTGTAAGCTGAGTTGGGTTCCCAGCTGGAGTCAGGACAGCCCAGGCAGTGCATCAGCTGTGTAGTGTGCAGTGTGTGTCCACCCCTCTTTGGCCTCATCTTCCTCATCCCTGGCTCCTATAGGCTGTTAACCTTGACTGCTGCACCAGCTCCCCCAAAGCTATCCAGACCAAGTCACCAGAAAACACCACTGACGTGGATGGGAGAAAGAAAAGGGGTCTTGCTTCTCCTTACGGCTGTCTTCTCCCACCTACCTTGCCCTGTCTCACCTCCTCCAGCTCTCCATGGCTGGTGTAACAGTGGCTTTCTAACACAGTGCTGCCTCCTGGGTGGTCCAGCTGCTAGAGTTGCTCCAACAGCAGGAGTTTCAAGCCAGGGAAGGGGAGCCCGGTCAGGCTGCCAGATGGTAGGGGAGACAGGTGTGGATGAGCAGGGCACCAGGGATCATGTGTTGGAATCACAGCTGAGAGAGGGAGTCAGGTGAACCACATTATGCATTATGCAGCCCCATTATAGCCCTTAGTAGTCCCTGGACCTGGACTTGGGTGAATCCATCCCTGCTCCCACATTCTGCCCTCTCCCCTTCTCCATCACTCCTGGAGCAGTAATGATAATAATGAGAAATAATGGTTACTGATAACTTTGGTTGATAATTTCATTTAAGAAGCCAGAGACTGGCTAGGGTATGGGGAGGGAGGGCTGGAGAAGAAGTGGGGGAAGGAGGATGGGGTACAGGGGTACAGCTTGAGTAGGAGTAACAACTTCTCATATTCTGTAGCACAGCAGGGTAACAGTGGTTGACAACTATTAATTATTTCAAAATAGCCAGAGCGGATTTTGAATGTTCCCAGCACAGTGTCTCTGAGGTGATTAGATAAGCAATTATTCTGGTTATTATATACCATATACATGCATTGAAAAACCAGCTGTGCCCCGTATTTATAAATATGTACAGTAACCATGGGTCAATTACAAAACACATTTTTTTAAAAAAAGACATTACAATTAGAATGGTATCCTTAATTTTTCAGATGAGCAAACTCTGACAGATCAAGGATTTGAACTCAGGGCCTCCTGGCTCCAAACTTGCTGATCTGCTTTCCCACAGCCAGCCCTGTCTGATCCACTCTAAGCTCTTTCCCTCTCTCTCGGGGCATCAACCCATCAGCCTTACAGAAAGTAAGGGTGGAGCATGGGCGTGTTGGCCTCATAGCAGTGGCGGGGCGGGGTGGGGGGTGCTGCGGGGGATGTCTGCGGGAGCTTTCTGTTTTAGTGATGTCAGGAAGTCAGCTGCTCGCTCTATCAGGGAACAGCATCTTGAAGACTCTCGCCCAGCCACTCTGACATGATTCCCCGGTACATACTCCACAGTGACAGACAGCAGAATTTAATACATGTAACGTCTTTCCTTCCATTTACACCATCATAAATTACAAAGTATTGTTCACTTCACAAAATAAAACCATTTCCAGATAATTTCTGACAGTGTCAAGAAGTACATAAGCTACAACAAACCGATCTGTACAGCTGGGCGGGACGAGAGCAGCAGGGACCAGGCTGAGCCGCTTGACCCCTGTGTGCCAGGGGTCCCATCTGTAGGCCCCAGGGGTCCTGCGCTCCTTCCAGCCCCAGAGAACACATGGAGGCTCTCTCCTGATCACTCCAGACAGCAGTGGGCGAGTACTTACAGGGATCATGTCAATCAGAGGAAAAGACATGGCAGATGGATTAAGAAAAAAATCTAGATTTGCACTTTTTGATGTCTTTAAATATCTCACCTATGTTACAAAATATAGAAATCTTGGGGTAAAAGGCTCACGCTAAGATCGATGCAACCAGTCAGATGGAACTACAGTAATCAAATTATGACCCATACACATCTGCTTTATCAAGGGGGAGCAAACAGTCTTTGTCATTCTTTCAAAAATAGGTTTGTTTATAAAACAAAAATGAAAAAATTGTTCTGCAGATTGACTTTTCAGCAATACAGACATGTGACAGACATACAACCTTCCATTAAAGGATGCATTCAAGGGGCGTGGCCAAACAGGAAAGAAGAAAGGGGCCAAGTTTTACACAGCCCAGAGACGCCCCGCTTCCTCCAGTCGCCATCTGTAAAATGACCACGTTCGGCACGTTCTGGGACACACACTGGTGGCACAGAGAGGCTAGGACTGGATCCAAGCATACTTTGGGAATTCACCAGAGTTTTATGGAAAGAAAATTTGAGGCTATTTCAGACCATTCCACAATGGCTATGAACACATACTGCAGGAGAGCAGAAGCAAAAACTATCAGAAGCAGGATACATGTGGCAGGTGGAATTTTACGGAGAAGCACTAATCAGGACAGAGGTATGTCAAGATAATACTGCATTCGGGACCAACTTTATCATCACAGCAAGGACGCGGGGAACAAGGAACACAGGGCAATCGTCAATGCACTGCATTGAGTTCTATTTGCTAAAATAAAATAACATTCTTGCAGCCAAAATAAAAATACATTTTACAATATAGGTTTCATTTAACATTTAACATATAGCATTGTCTTCTTTTTGAAAGTGGAAAATGTATAACTGTATCAAGTACCTTTAAGAATTAAATTCCCTTTTATTACTAAGACTGAAGTTTCAAGGTCTACATTGTTTCCTTTTTTTAATAAGTTAAAGAAAGATTTATTAATCACTCTTGCAGCAGAACAGATATACACACGAGGCACGGCAAAAGAGCCAGGGTGAGGGCCTCTTCCCACCCTCACCCTCGTTCTCACATGGAGACGACGCGTCTATGAGACACAGCACCCGACTCCGCGGTGCACCGCGGCCCAGGAAATTCTGTCACTTGTTTGAAAAACAAATCAAGTGCAAGAAATGTTTTTATTCCTTTAGCTGAATCAACTTAGAAGGGACGGGGGCCCCTTGAGCTCCTGTCCCTGATGGCTTAGAACAGAACATCTTCGTTTTCTATCAAAATCTGCACAATCAGCTTCTGGTACCGCATGTCGTGCAGGGTGGTGAGGGTGTTGTCCTCGGGCGGCCTCATCAGCGTGGGCCCGAACACGATCCCCAGGTTTTCCGCGTTCATGAAATTGTCCTTCTCGTTCAGGGTGACCCTGCGAAGCAGCAGACACACGGGGGAGTGAGGGGGGTGCACGCGCACGCTGAGATGCTGTGCACGTCCCTAAGACCCGGGAACATCTTTGCCTGGGAAACTGCACGAGCGAAGTGGGGATCGGAATGGCAGAAGGCTCTCTTTCTAAAGGTAGTTTTCTGATCTGTTTTTCTTTCTAAATTTCTGGCACAGGAATCCCATGAAGGGAATGTGGACCCAATTTTTTTTAACTTCTTAATAAATATGTAATAAGTATGGAGCTATCATTTGGGGGATACCGGTTTGAAGGGACAGCAGATTATTTGCTGGCTGGTGGGGCCAGCTGTTTTTCCTCCTGTCACTTGTGTGTTCTAGACAGTGGGCGTTGAGGGCAGGTTCCCTGTGTGCTAGCAGGAGCAGTGCCAGGGGAGAAAGGTTACTGGCAGAATGGGCTGCCAGGAGTGTAGGAAGAGCCGGGCCCTCATCATGGGACGGGGGAAGGCTGGCAGGTGGCCACGCTGGAAGGCAGTTGGGCATCACTTCCAGTCCCCGCAGGATGAGGTCTGGAGCAGTAATTATTGTTGAAATTGAAGAGTCATCATTTCAACACCCAGATAAGATCAGCAGAGCCTTCAAGAATGCAACTCGGACTCTAAGACTGGTTTAATAGCTGCCTAGTGGAGCCATCTCCTAGATCCTGGATTTCAGGAATTTGAGAACTTTAGATAGTTCGTAAGCCCTGAAAGAGGGTAAGATATCTGAAGACAAAAATAATTAAAATCTATTGAGGTTTTGCACTGAAGACCATCCCTGTTTCCTTACGGCTTATTAGGATCGGATGTGCCATGTTACTTCGGGAAGGTCAGCCCAGTTTGCATTGTTTTCACACTGCAGAGCTGAGCAGAGGGCATTCTTCCGGCTCTCCCTGTGCACTCAAGCGCTGTACCTGGCCCAGCAAGGCGGCCGGCAGGCCCACCGCGGGAAACATGCAGTCATCGGCACTGAAAATCCAGCTGGCAAGTGTCAGCATTTTTCCCGAGCGTGGTACTTTGTCCTCCAAACTGTAACAGCTGGACGTTGATCACCGTAAGGGAAATAAAAGCCAGGCCTGACACCACTAGTCAACTCCTTATCTCAAAAAGCACTCGTTCTTTTCTGTTCATCACATGTATAAAAATGGGACTAGAGCTGCCTGTTACCACCTCTGATCATCCTGAATCTGGGCGACAGCATTTGTAGGTCTTAAAAGGCAGAAAGAGAACAACTTCTGTAGCTAGTGTCTGTAGTGCTTGCAATGTGCTTCCTTTCGCTTACGGAATGGACTTGTGAATTGCGATTTGCACTTTATCTAAGAATGGCTCTCTCGCCATGGGTCTTCCAAAAACATCGTGAAGCCCACAGATGTGATCCCCCCAACATTTCAGAGGCCAACCCGGCAGCCTCAGTGTATGTGAGCAGCCCAGGAACAAGACACAAGGGTTAGAGAGAGGAGTCTGGATCCGGAGGCCCCAGTGTCCTGCAAACACCCTAACGTCCCACACGCTCCTCAACGCACGGTCCCCTGTGTGGCAGGCAGGAGGCCCCAATGACCTCTGCCCCCTGAAATTCATTCCCTGTGCAGTCCCTGCCCCTGGAGTAGGGGCTGGACCCAGTGACTTGCTTATTCTAACCAATGAAAGTGGCAAAAGCAGTGGGATGTCCCTGCCGAGATGAAGTAAGAGAAAGGCTGTGTTTGTCTTAGGCACTCTTCCTTGCTTGCGCTGGGGGGAGCTCTGTTACTATTTAGTGAGTGGGAATGACCACAAGGCCGGGAACTGAGGGTGTGAAGTCTTCAGTCCCGTAGTCTCTGAGGCATTGCATCCTGCCCGCGGCCACAGCAGGGAACTTGGAAGCAGGTGCTGCCCCATCGAGCCTGGCGATGGCCTCAGAGACTGGCACATAGTTTTACCGCAGTTGCGTTATCGACCCTGAGCCAGAGGCAGCTAGTTAAGCTACATCCATATTCCTGGCTCACAGGGGGTATGAGATAATAAATGCTTATTGTTTTAAGTCACTAAGTTATGGGCAGTTTGTAACTTGGTGACAGAAATGTCATACATCCAGAAACACAAGAGGTGGGCTTGGGAATGCACTCTGAGGAGGCAGGGAGTCCAGGACTGGGGTGGAACAGCAGGAGGATGAACAACTACAGAGTGCAGGGCTTGTCTTGGAGGAGAATGTAGAGAGGCAGTGTAGACAGTATGAGGTCTGGATGAGTCTGTCTGGGTTTCCATCCTGGCCTCACCTCTTGAGATCAGCGATTTGATCTCCCTAAGCTTCTGCAATTTCCTGTGTACCAGGGACTGTACGTGGAAGTGTGGGGCCACTCGTGGAGTGGAGTGAGGGCTCTAGCCATTCCGACCAGGCTGGCCCCGACAAGGCAGCATAGTTCCCCGTAAAGGAGTGGAGTGTCTGCCCATTCGGTGTGCGAGGGAGGAAGGCTGCATGCTTCCCTAACGGGATGCCCACCCCCGGGGCCAGGACAGGGCGCGTGGCTGAGGCCTGAGCTTACTTCTTGAGGTGGATCATCAGGTATCGCAGGGTCTCGTAGTGGGCGGGCGGCAGCAGCATCAGCACCTCGTGGACGGCTTCCAGCCTCTCATCTGCACTGGAGACTTCTGGGAAGATGGCACACAAGGGAGGTCAGCCTGGTGACACTCACGCTTTCAGAGAAGTAACGAGAGGTCTGCTCTAACAACGAAGGAGGAGGGTGGCTACAGTTCCATAGAGTTTGGCTGTCCCCCAAGGGTCCCTGTGTTAATGACTTGGTGTTCCAAGGGTGGTGCTGTTGGAAGGCGGTAGAAGCTTGAGGAGGTGGGGCCTAGGGTCACTGGGACACTGGGGACATGTCCTTGAAGGTTGTTCTCGTGAGAAGGTCGTTGTAAAAGCCTGAGTTTGGCCTCAGTTTCTCCTCGCTTCCTCCTTCCCTCCCTCTCTCCCCCCCCTCCCTCTCTCTCTCCAAGGATCCTTCCAACTTACCCACTCCACCATCACTACCCACCACCCTCACCAGAGGCCCAACCAATGGGGTTACCCAATCTTTGGATTTGAACCTACACAACTCTGAGCCAAAGAAGCCTTATCTCTTTATAAACTTAGTTGCCTCAGGGGTTTCCAGAGTTCTAATAAGTTCATTGAATGCAGGTGCTGTTGCACTTAATGAGTTTGTTCTTGTACTGCCTCATTTCACAGTCTGTGGCCAAGCATCACATGCTTGGTGGACGTTGTGATGCGGGTCTGGAGGGCGGACATTGTCTTGTTTTCTGGGAAGCACCAGTCCAGTAGAATGCTTACAGTCTTGGGGCACGCTCATGCTCTGTGCTTCACCCTTCTTTTGAACTGGATTTGCTAGAAATCTCACTGTCACAGCTTTAATCCAGACTACACCACTTATGGTAGTGTGTCCTTGAAGTTGCCTAATGAGTCTTTGCCTGGCAGCCTTCCATAGTCAAATGTATTTTGCAATGCAAGGACATTGGCAGATGAGTCAGCCAGCACAGCCTGCACTAATGGCACTTTTCACCCAACTGCTGGCAGGGCTGACCTCGGTGCAAGCCCTGGTTAGGAAGCAGATACTGGGAAAATTAACAATGGGAGGAAGAATGCATGCTTCTGGTTTTTGGGTCTCTGATTAATACTGGCAGCCATTCAAAGAAAGCCCTCCTATCATTCCTCTTAGGGTGGAGGGTACCTAGCTTCTAGAACCTTCTCTGCTCTGGACATAGGAAGAAATGTTCTTAGGAGGGAGCAGGGCCTCAGCTCCTCCAGAAAGTGCACCTCGTAATATTGCCAGCCGGCCCTCGTACCTACCCTTAAGACAACTCATGACTATATTTAACAGCACAAGATTAAAGATTAAGAAACCTCAAAAACAAAAAGACTTCCTCAAAGTGGGCTTGACTTCTGTGTCATGCATCTGAATCTCCCATTCCTTACTCTTGTCTGTTCCTAAGCCTCTGCCTTTCACATAAATAAATAAATCTTAAATAATTTTTTTTTGGCTACCCAAATATTCACGCTTTCAACACAGAATAAAATAGACCCAACTGTGCTGGTTCCTGGCACACAAGGAACAATGAGGGGAAGGGGGAGCCAGCAGTGCCTGACACCCCGCGTCCGCCCAGAGGAGTTGGCTTAGCACTGGGTCAGCACAGCTGGGGAACCACGGCTGGCTTTCTGTTAACGGTGCTGTTGTGTCCTCACTCGGCAGCACTCGCGTTCATGCAAGAATGAGAGAGAATTGAGTTCTAATTGCCTTGGAACGGAAAGCATTGTGCTGGAGAGTGTGGTCCAAACAAACCGCTGGCTTTGCACACTCACTTGCTGCTTCTATGAATTTGGAATAGGTGTCATATGTGATGACAGGGATGGGCAGGTCTCGGAAGTAGAGTTTCAGGGCTCCAGTGATAATGTTGATGTCTGGGTAGATGTTGGCAGATATGTCCGCCTTTTCTCCATCTGAAAAACAATCAGCGACCCAAGTTCAAATGAGGACCTTACTTCACCAAGTTAAAGTGTGCACAAGGGAGGGGGAATAAGATCTCACAACGACTGCTTTCTGACAATCTCGGCTCACTGTTTTGACTTCTGATTACATGGAGGTGTAATGAAAAGGAGTTTGCTGAGAGTGAGGTCAGGGTGTGTGGGTACCCTGCAGCCCAAGGCTAAGGAAGTAGACTTTAATGGTTTTTTGGGTCCAAGCCCCTGCTAACCTGTTAAATAGAAACTCAGCCCAGAGAGGCTGGTGCCGTGGCACACTAGGTTAATCCTCCGCCTGTGGCGCTGGCATCCCATATGGGCGTCGGGTTCTAGTCTCAATTGCTCCTCTTCTAGTCCAGCTCTTTGCTGTGGCCTGGGAGGGCAGTGGAGGATGGCCCAAGTGCTTGGGCCCTGCACCCCATGGGAGACCAGGAGGAAGCACCTGGCTCCTGGCTTTGGATCGGCGTAGCTCCGGCCATAGCGGCCATTTAGGGAGTGAACCAATGGAAGGAAAACCTTTCTCTCTGTCTTTCTCACTGTATGTAACTCTACCTATGAAATAAATAAATCAATAAAAATCTTAAAAAAAAAAAAAAAAACTCAGCCCAGCAATTTGTAGGTAGACACAAAGGTTCACAACAGAAAAACCATCTGATTTAAATAAGAAAGCATGGAGAAGCTCTAAGGTGTTCTCAGATAGGAATTGGAAGGTCAGGAACACAGAACAATTGCTGAACATCTTCAGTTGCTATTGTCACAGTGTTCCCTCCCTCCCCCACAACCCCTAGGGCTTGAATCTGGGAAAGTTCACCCTTGCCCTACCTCCAGTGATGCTAGAGGTCTTAACATTTTTAACAATCATTCTCAAGACATTGTTTGACGGTTTTATCATTAGCAAGTACCAGTCCCACTGAGCTATCAGAGACTGTGAAACTCTTCGGTTAAAAAACATTTCAGCCACGTAGGGGTTACAAGCATCTACTGCATGGAGAATTAGAACAGACACCTCAGCAAATTTGGATCTGGTGATACAAAAGGTACTGTTCTCTGCTCATGTACAGAGAACAGTAAAAGCAAAGTAGCTAGGCTATGTGGATCCCAATATTTACATATTTTGCAAGCATTTATTGAAAACATACCAGGTGCCAAGCATTGTAAAGTCCTAGTGAAATCAAAGTAGAGCTATTGTCTTCCAGTAGTTCTGGTTAGGTGGCGAATTAGCATGCAATTCAATAGTTACAAGGTATGTGGAGAGATTGCTATGCTGGAGGCAGGTAAAATACCCAGAAGACATAGGAAAAGCAAACAGAAGCTCTTAGGTCAGCTTTGGGCAGTGAAGAAGGCTTCATGAAAGAGCGAAGAATTGATCCAACCCCTGATTACAAGGCCTTTGCTACACAGAAGTGTGAACACAGTGCAGGTGCTCAGAACTCTGCGAGGTGAGGTGCACACCAGGACTGCTGGGGTGGGTCACGTTAGGTGAGGGTTCCCTCACTTGACTGGCTGCACCAGAATGGATTGGAATGTCCGTTAGAAATGCAGAGCCTTGGACTCATGGAGCTTTGTGGATGCATTCTCATGGGGGGCCCTGATGATCTGCATTAAGAGTTCCCAGGTTGGCTGTGACAGCTCACCTAAGAGATACAGTGTCCGAGGGGACATCTGTCAGAACTGTAAAGAACAAAGGAGCTACCTCCTGCACTTCCATCGGCTTCCCCTGCTGCAGCCCTGGGGCTGCCCTCTCAACTCTGCTCCGCTCCTTGGAGCTTTGGGCGAAGAGTCTCCAACAGGGTCCTGAGATGAGGGATGGTGCAGGGGGGTGCACTGGTGCTGTGTGTTTAGCTTCTAACTAAGCACCCCCCTTCCTCAGAAAGGAACTGTAGGACTGTTAAAACAATTTACTAATGAAAGATAGATACATACACACACACACATACATGCACACAGAGATATGCAGACAGAGCTTCCATCAACTGATTCACTCCCCAAATGCCCCCAAGAGTCAGGGCCAGGGCCAGGGCCAGGACCAGGCCAGGTCAAGGATGAGAGCCTGGAACTCAATCTGGCTTTCCCATGTGGGTGCCAAGGACCCGACTACCTGAGCCATTACCTGCTGCCTCCCAGAGTGAACATGAGTAGGAAGCTGGATCAGAAGCAGAGCTGGGACTTGAGCCTAGGCACTCTGACGTGGGATACAGGCTTACCAACACCAAATGCTTGCGCCTGTGAAATTGTTAAACCATCCCTCCTCAGCTCCCTGAAAAACAGCTCTCAGCATTTCTGAAACCCCATTTCTACCGTGAATGAAACCTGGTTCCAACAGAGCAGTTGCCAAGGGCAAGACAGACAGACGGCACTTGAAGCACAGCTTACCTCTGTCAAACGCCATCTTGACATCTTCAATGTGCTCAGTGAACCCGGAGACTCTGTAAATTCCTTCTGACTTTAATCCTGAGAGAGAGAGAGAGAGAGAGATAGGTAGGTAGGTAGGTAGGTAAGTAGGTGTTGGGGAGATATTAACTTCAGCTTCCCCAAATATTTGCACATGGACTCTAGTTTCATATCTATACTATGTCCTGTCAGAAGATAAGAAAATTGCGGCAGTATAGTATGCTATGTCAGATTCCTCCTAAGTAACATACGTCCCTGCTGCTTCCTCTGGAAAGACTCCATCAAGTGTGTCTTTGCCCATCTGAGATCCCCTGCATCCGGCAAGAGCACATGGCATCGATACAGTCCCTACTCTCTCCTGTGACCAGGGCAGAGGCTGTTAGTCGATCTCAACTCTTCCGAGTACCACTCACCCAGGTTGCCACTGCTGGTCAGTGGGACTTGGCCCACCAGTATACCTGTGTGTCACACTGTTCACCTCAGTACAGCTGGGACAGGCGATGCCACACAGGTGAGGACATGGTGGCTCATGGGAGCAGAATTGGGGACGGCCAACCCCGGTAGAAGGGGGCACCTGGGGAGCTCATATCGAGGGGGAGTCTGAAGGGATGGGGTTGGAGTTCATCAGAGGAGCCGAGTGTGTCAGTTCTCCTCCTAATAGTTTATCTTCCATCTCCCGGTTGAACAGAGCCTTATGATTCTTAGAGCCGGGTCTGAAGTCTGGGCAATGTGAAGAGAGCAGAAGGGATGTAAACAGCTTTTGGATTGTGGCTCTGAAGGGCAAGAACACTCCCTTCCCCCTTCCTGTTGGTGGGCGTGCAGGTGGCATCATACAGTGGGCACCACGGCAGGGCAACACAGGGCCTGGGTTCCGCCATGGCATCCATTCGACCAGCCCCGCTGCCCTGCTGCAGAGAGAAGCAGATTTCCATCATGTTGAAGGCACTATCATTCAGGTCTCTGCGACAGCACTGACACAAAGTCTGCGTTACACAGTCAGATACGGAGGTGGAGTTAGGGGAGGTAATCGTTCCAAGAAAAGAAAAGAAATGACACAGGTTGACTCCTGTGTGTTGGGCACTGTACTAGGTCCTTTATCTGTGTCAACTGATGTTAATTCTTAAACCATTTTATGAGGAGCAATTTATCAGTTCACTTTATGGCTGGGGAAATAGATACTCACATAGAGTAAAGAGGGACCAGTTTTGTGGCACAGCAGATTAAGGCACTGCCAGTGATGCCAGCATCTCATATATGAGTGCTGATTCAAGTCCCAGCTACTCTGCTTTCAATCCAGCTCCCTTCTAATGCACCTGGGAAAGCAGCAGGAGATGGTCCAAGTACTTGGGCTCCTGCACTCATGTAGGAGACTCGGATGAAGTTTCTGACTTCAACCTGGCCCAGCCCTGGTCATTGCAACCCTTTGGGGAGTAAACCAGCAGATGGAAGAACTCTTTCTCCCTGTGTCTCTGTAACTCTGCCTTTCAAGTAAATCTTAAAAATATGGAGTAAGCAGCTTGCCCAAGGTCTTGCTAGAGCCAGTAAGAGATGGGGCTGGGAATCTAACCTCAAGCTCACGACCTTTTCATTCTATGGTATCATGCAGACACAGTGAGCCTGAGGAGAGCAGTAAGGAATTTTTTAAGGACAGGAGTCCATGTGAGATGTTGGCAGTGGTGCCCGTGCAGCTGGGGATGCGTCCTGTGAATTCCTCCAAAGGCAACTGTTGGATTCAGCTTGGCCACCTAGGCCCCCAGCACCTATGGCTCCAATCCCTCTGCTGCAATTCCCTTGGCATCAGTTGCTGATTGGTGCCCCTGTAATCCTTGTATGAGGCATGCTTAGTGATATGCTCTTTGTAGACAGTCTCTCTGCATGTCCAGTGTGGTATAGTTTTGCCTGAAGCATCAGCAGAATCCCAGCTTCTCCAGAGAAGCATAGCTCATGTCCTTCACAGTCACATTGAGCTCTGTTAGCCATAGCAACAACAAGGGAAGAGGCAGTTCTTAGTATCTGATACTAAACAAGCAAGCCCTCAAGAAATAGAATAGCTATGGCTTTCCTCCTGAAAGAGAAAGGAAATAATTTCCTATCTCTAGAAGGCTTGGGATGACAAGCTACAACAGCCTTTTGTTTTGTTTTGGAACAAATGGGCAAGTTGGCCAGTGGATACCTGTAGAATGTCTTTAGCCAATTTGGATCCAATAATGGGTACCCAGTGTAGCAGAATATAATAGATGGCCAACATCACTGAGGCCTTTGGAAGGTTTTATACGTGGTCCAAGCCCCATCCAGCAATCCCAGTTCTCCTCATGGAGACCCAGTCTGTGACACCACTGAGCACTGCGATACTAAACAGCGCCTAGCAAAGCACAAAGGACAGGTGGCCCGCACATAATGTAAAGAAGCTTGCCTTTTTTTTTTTTTTTTGAAATGTTTATCTTTCTTGCCTCCTTGATAATTTTCTTGAATAGATTTTTAAAATTTATGTATTTGAGAGGTAGAGTTACAGAGAGAGAGAAGGAGAGACAGAGAGGTCTTCCATCGCTGGTACAGTCCCCAAACGGCCACAGCAGCTGGAGCTGGGCCGATCCGAAGCCAGGAGCTTCTTCCAGGTCTCCCATGTGAGCACAGAGGCCCAAGCGCTTGGGGCATCCTCTGCTGGTTTCCCAGATCATAGCAGAGAGCTGGATGGGAAGAGGAGTTGTTGAGACTAGATACTGAGATACACATGAGATACTGGCACCACAGGTGGAGGCCTCAGCCCACTATGCCATAGCACCAGCCCTAAATAGATTTTTGAAACCTTTTAAACTCATCTTTGAAATAAGCAGAACAGAATTAGGAGTGAACTTTTATATGGTAGGAGGTGCAATGATCAATAATATTTCTATTAAATACAAACACTGTGAAAATTATTTGAGGGGGAAGGAGGAAGAAGTGAGGGAAGGAGAAAGAAAGAATGAGAGTGTTATCTGCTAGCTCACTCCTCTGGGGCAGCGTCAGGCAGAAACCAGGACCTGGGAACACAAGCAAGGTCTCCCAGGCAGGTGGCAGGAACCCATTACCACTGCCTCCAAGGGTCTGCATTAGCAGTTAGAAGGTTAGCATTAGCAGAAGTTGGAGGCCAGAGCCAGACCCAAGAGTGAAACCCGGCACTCTGACGTGAGGCCTGAGCATCCTCTCTGGCGTCTTAGGCACCAGGCCAACTGCCCACTTCCAGGAGCACTTCTCAGTATCCAATTCCAACCTCACTTCTGCCAGAACTCTTTCTTAATTGTCCTCAAATACGATTACAGCATCTTCCTTTGTGAATCCATCTTGTTTTGAATATGGGCATGCACGTGTATTTATTTGTCCACACAGTAGTATGGATTTCTCAATGTATAGGACACAGTAAAAGCTCAGGAAACATCTGTTGAGCCCATACACATGTGGTTTTTCTCGGAAATGGAAATTGATACCATTGGTTGGGACCATTTTCCCAACAAAAGTAGTGGAGCCAGTTTCCTTGACAACAGGAAAAATTAACAGAGCATTTTCCAAACCTCTTGCTTCAATCTCCCGGATACACATGTCCACCACCATGGGTCTCTGCATGTTGTGGGCCTTCACGAGCGTGGTCAGGTCACAACAGTACACCTTCTTGATCCGCTTGAGGTCGGGCTGGCAGTCGTTGGGCACATGCTTGGAGCACTGCTTGTGCACATTCAGCCCACAGTCTGCAAACGAAGGAGTCGCATTAGCCATGCCCGGGCCTCTGTCAAGAGCCCAGCACAAATTATACGTTGCCAAAAATAAAAATACCACCACCCGTGCCTGCCGTGTTTTTCCGGAACAGCCACCCAGGACAGGTGCTGCCGAGAGTCATCTTTACCCTCTGCACCCTTACGTGCGTCCGGCTTCCTGGGCTGGGCCCGAGGAGTAGAAGCCCTCACTGAGCTCATTTAGGTGCTTAGGGTGTTTGGATGTGATCTCTCTCTCTCTCTGGGCTGGAACTTTGCGTACACAAGTGGGCTTTTTGGGGTTTGGGTTCCCAGGTTAGGTCACAGCTCACCAGCGGCACCTAGGACTCCTGCCAGCCTGTTTCCTGGAAGTCCCTGGTGTGGAGGAGAAAGCTGGTCTCTGTAGAATCTCTACTCGTTGGTTTGAGGAGCTCACGACTGTTGGCATCTTGTGCTTTCCTGGAGAGGAGGTCCCTACTTCCCAGGCCCGTCCTCCTGTGGCCAGGCCATTTTTATTTATTTCTACCTGCCTCATTCTAACACCTGGGAATGGAAATCCTGTCTAACTGTAGCCCAGTGGGAGTAATTGAGAGTTTACCATTTATAACAATGCCGTGTAATATGATGATTAGAGTAATTATTTATAAAGCTCATATCAAGATCCAAAGCTGAAAAGGCGCTTTTAAGTTCACTGAACACGTTAAAAGCCTTGTTAGCAGTTGGTATCCACTGATGGAATTTCCCTGACAATAAAAAGCCAGAGTCTACATTCTGGAAAATAAAAATTTAATGCTTAAGTTGTTCAAAGTTGGTGTATCATTGTCTACTCAAAGTGTCTTATACTATTGCCTTCTACACACAAAGAATAACATAACATTGTCTCCCCCCTCCACACGTTCTTTAGGATGAGTAATCCCCCGTTACGTGTTTACACTGCATGTTGTTTAGCCATCTTTCCATGCATGGACACTTTGGTCACTTCCACCTTTTGGCTATTGCTGAGCCAGCGTCCAAGTGTCTGTTCAAGAGCCTGCTTTTAGTTCTTCTGGGTTATTTTCCAGGTGCTGGATCAAACGGCAGTCCTATTTTTAATTTTCTTACAAATTTCATTTTAAGGTCTGACGCAACAGTGAACTGATGTAGAGTTAAATTCTAAAATTTCATTAAGATGTTTTATACTATGTACAAAATATTTTTTACAAATTAATAGAGCTCAATTATGATACAAATAAAAACCTGGTTTAAAAATTTAACATTATGGAAAGCTGAGAGGCAACGATGACTCTTCTTAACCTATAATGACCAGTTTTCAGCTTTTCTGCTACGCAGATGAAGTCCAAGAAAAAAGAGTAGCCACTGGAGAATACTAACAATGTAGACTTAGACTGTGTCTTATTTTGATTATAAAAACAGAGAGAGAAAAAAAATCCCCAAAGCTTTTCATCCCAGAGAAAGCTGCTGATCATAGCGAATGTAAAGTCCAGGTTTTGTTCTCATAATATTGACTTTGGACCAATTTCCTGCTGAAATTGGATAATACCAACAATTAGGGATATTTTTGGTAGTATAACCTGGACAGGCCAAATTAATGAGTAATGCAGATATTCTACCACTTTGTTCAGTGGTGGAACCCGGAGATACTTTGTGAGTCTTCTGTGTTACTTGGGGAACCTGCCCACTTCTTGGGGGGCTGCGTTTGAGCTCAGGTCTTGAGCTCAGGTCTTACCACTTTGCACCTTGGACCTGGGCTGAGGGAAGGCAGAGTTCTCCGGGCTACGTGAGAACTACCTGAACTGCCCAAGTGATACCAGTGACTGTTGTACCTGTAGAAGCCCCTTCTAGGCACAGTGGTGATTCAAGGTTGCATGATCCTGTGACCAAAGCTGCCAGTATGGGAGAGGAGATCCACCACCTTGGCATAGTGCTGGTGGCTCATTTTAAATGAGTCACATAATTATCTTTTACAGTCCCACCCCAGCAAGGAGGAATCAGTCATGGGGCAGGTGGACCCTGTCAGTGTCACAGAGGGCTGCTCTCCCCCCAGCACAACTGTGCTCCAGAAAAAGGCTACTGGCATGGAGCAGGGAGCCAGGTTACACATTCACCTGGCAATGCTTTATCCTTTGTCTGATGCAGCGTTACAGAGAGGCAGAGGCAGAGAGAAAGAGGTATTCCACCTGCTGGCTCACTCCCCATATGGTCACAACAGCCGAGCTGGGCTGATCCATAGTCAGGAGCCAGGAGCTTCTAGGTCTCCCATGCAGAGGCAGGAGCCCAAGGATTTGGGCCATCCTCTACTGCTTTCCCAGGCCATAGCAGAGAGCTGGATCAGAAGTGGAGCAGCCAGTACTAGAACCGGTGCTCCTATGGGATGCCGGCGCTGCAGGTGGAGGATTAACCTGCACCACAGCGCCGCTCCCTGTCGGATGTATCTTAACATAGCCATGATGTGTGCATCTAATTCTAGGTGGGAAGATGTCTGGGGTTCAAACTACTTTGAAAATACCAGAGCTAAGGTCTGTGGTCTCAGTGCCAATCCGATGGCAGAAGCAGGCTGGGCTTGGGCCCTGCAGCCCATCTGCCTTTGAATCAACATCCACCACTTACTTGGTGGCCAAGGGCAATTCTCAGTGACCTCTCGGTTCCTGTTTCCTCTTATGTTTCAGAGGGACAGTGCTATCATCCCCCAGGTTTGGTTGTGAGGCGAAGTGTAAGTAGTAAGTGTGTGGTCCAGGGCCTGGCAGGTGGTAAATTCTCATCGCCAGTATCATTACATTTATTTTAAAAGACAGCGTTGGAGAGAAGCATGGCTTTTCTGTCCATGTAATTCCAGTGGAATTGATTTTTCTTTTTGAGGACCACTGCCTATTTTGGGAGGCAGGCTGATGCTTATGGAAATATATTTGCTTGCTTCTTTCTTCCTTTCCTTGTATAAATGTGAGATATTCTTCTTCATTCCTGGAAACTCATAGAACAGTCTCCCCATTGAGCTCCAAAAGGCCTGGAGCCCTCTGGGACCACTTGACTGCTGAACCAGTCTAGGCATATCTATCTCCCAGCTCTAGATAGACGTCCTCTGGCTCAGCACGATGGTACTTTACATAATTGGAAAAGAAAAATGAAAGGTCCATTCTGGGACTGGCATAGTGGTTAAGGCTACCGCTTGTGGTACTGGCATCCCATATGGGCACCGGCTCAAGTCCTAGCAGCTCCACTTCCAATCGAGCTTTCTGCTGTGGCCTGGGAAAGCACTGGAGGGTAGCCAGAGTCCTTGGGCCCCTGCACCCACATAGGAGACCTGGAGGAAACTCCTGGCTCCAGACCAGCCCAGCTCTGGCTGCTGCGGCCATTTGGGGAGTGAACCAGCAGATGGAAGACCCCTCTCTCTCTCTGCCTCTGTCTCTCTGTGGCTCTGCCTTTCAAATAAATTTTTTTTTTTTAAGAAAGTTTCATACTTACCTGAGCACCTGACCCCCTGGGCAATGAGCCCCCACATGAAGTTGGCACAGTATTCACACCAGTGTGGGCCTCGGAAAGTGTGCACCTGTGATCCAAACAGAAGAAGGCTGTCAGAGGATTCGGTGACCTAGAGGCAAGTGGCCTTGGACATGAAACACATGGAGGCAGTTACAGAACAAAGACAGGCATCAGAGGAATGATCTTCACTGGGTGTCTTCCATCCAGTGGGGCGGATCCAGAGGAAACGGAGCCGTGCTTTGATCTTTGAAACCCTGCACTGACCCACCGTGCCCCGGTCCAAAAGGAATGTGGAGAAACAGTCAGGTTACAGGAACACACCATCAACTAAGGAACAAGACTCACTGCCCCAAACTAGGCACCGTGTGGATGAACCCAAGATAGCCTGGGCCGCTCGCCGCAACCTGCATTTAGCTCAGCAAGTTCTGGAAGACAGGGCTCAATTACTGTGTCCTTGGGACGGCAGTTGCCCCATCTGTAGAATACCCAGACAGGTATAAATAAGATGTGATTACAGGATAATTAAAAGGTTCCAGGGCTTTGCGCCACTTCCAAAGAGAGTGTTAAAAAAAGCAAGGGAGTTGGCTGAAAATGCAGGCTACCCATAGGGCCTATGAAATTGCTCTCCCCAGAGATAGAGTCTGTGCCCAGCAAGCTGTGTGTGTGTTTGTGTGTGTGTTTGTGTGTGTGTGTGTGTGTCCATCTATCCTTCATGTGGGTGGGCTGAAAACCCACCCTGGCTGGCCAGTCTCCTTGGCTGGTACGCTGCCGGTTGTGAGATACCCGGCCTATCACATCATAAGGATGGTTTTGCTCTAGTTATTCGGGCCCAGGTCTTTCTGTAACAGGATCATGGATTAAGTCATGGTTTACAGCAGAAACAAAATAAAAGTAGTTGTTTCCTGGCACCAAGAAGCAGAGCTGCGGCGTTCCTTGCAAGCCAACGTGGCTACAGTCAGCAAAACCGCCAAAGGCCGTCCATAGAGGCAGGCAGGCAAGCACGTGATGGGGTCCCGATGTTGTATCGCTTTATTACAAAAGGCCTTTCAGACTTTTAAACTTCTGTTAATAAAAATGTAGACATTTGCATTTAAAAAAAAACAAATTGGGATGCCTGTTTATGACTTATCTAACAAAGGAATCAGGATGACGGCCATGGTCACAATTTGGAACGCAGCTCTGCTTAAGAAAAGAGAGCATCATTTGAGTTCTGTGTTCACCCACGCCAGTCCCTGTGTGTACATTAAGTGGCAGACAACGCACACCTGGTTTCCACCTAATGGGACTGACAGAGGAATAAAAGCAGCAAGAAAAAGTAAAAAATAAGTCAAAAAGAACAACTTAAGGCCATGATTTCTATGCAGTAAACTGAATTATAATATCTTTTGGCATTTCGAGCCGGCGCCGTGGCTCAATAGGCTAATCCTCCACCTTGCGGCGCCGGCACAACGGGTTCTAGTCCCGGTCGGGGCACCGGATTCTGTCCCGGTTGCCCCTCTTCCAGGCCAGCTCTCTGCTATGGCCAGGGAGTGCAGTGGAGGATGGCCCAGGTGCTTGGGCCCTGCACCCCATGGGAGACCAGGAAAAGCACCTGGATCCTGGCTCCTGCCATCGGATCAGCGCGGTGCGCAGGCTGCAGCGGCAGCCATTGGAGGGTGAACCAACAGCAAAGGAAGACCTTTCTCTCTCTGTCTCTCTCTCTCACTGTCCACTCTGCCTATCAAAAATAAAAAAAAATTAAAAATAAAAAAATATATCTTTTGGCATTTTGGTGTGCCACATGCAAACTGTCTATTGATGTGACAAGCGATAAGAAAAATCTTTCAAAGTGTTCTTACTGAAACGGAGACGTGTCTGTAAGAGCACGGCCCAGGCACGTGACAAAGCACTCCTTGTAAGGGTGCAGGCAGTCCGTCTCGGGGGCAATGTGTTCTCATGGCACCAAAGGCCATGGTTCTCCGAGGCCCACTGGGATCAAACCTGGCACGAAAAGAATTGCTCAGTGAAACCTCCTATGAAAGGCTGGACAGTGGGAGCAGGTGTTTAGCCGAGTGGGTAGGATGCCCACCTCCCACATCCGAGTACCTGGGTTCAAGTCCTGGCTTTGGCTCCTGTCTCCAGTTCCCTGCTAATGCAGACCCTGGGAGGCAGTGGTGATGGCCCAAATAACTGGGTCCACATGGCTCATGTGAGACCTGGACTCAGTCCCTGGCTCCAGGCTCCAGTCCCTACCAGTCCAGGCTGTTGTGGGCAACTGGGAAGTAAACTAGCAGATGGGATCTTTCTTTCTCTCTCTCCCTCTCTCCTTCTCCCTCTCTCTCTCCCCCTCTCTCCCTCTCTGCCCCCCTCCCCCTCTCTCTCCCTCCCTCCCTTCCTCTCTCTTCCTCCCTCCCTCTCTCTCCCTCCTTCCCCTCTCCCCACCCTCACTTCCCAAGTAAACAAAAAATTTTTACAAAAGGTGAACATTTTCCAAATTCAGTAGTCATAGTTTTCTTACTGTTTTACTACAAATGTTTTACAGCTGCTGGTTGGCCAGCACCGTGGCTCACTAGGCTAATCCTCCACCTGCGGCGCCAGCACACCGAGTTCTAGTCCCGTCGGGGCGCTGGATTCTGTCCCGGTTGCCCCTCTTCCAGGCCAGCTCTCTGCTGTGGCCAGGGAGTGCAGTGGAGGATGGCCCAAGTGCTTGGGCCCTGCACCCCATGGGAGACCAGGAAAAGTACCTGGCTTCTGCCTTCGGATCAGCGCGGTACGCCGGCTGCAGCGCACCAGCTGCGGCGGCCATTGGAGGGTGAACCAACGGCAAAGGAAGACCTTTCTCTCTTTCTCTCTCTCTCACTGTCCACTCTGCCTGTCAAAAAAAATAAATAAATAAATAAAATAAAAAAAAAATAAAGCTGCTGGTTAAACCATGGCAACAAAGTTGACTTAATTTACTGTTGACATGGCAAGCTCAACGAAAAATAAGTAAAATACAGCGCCCTGAAATAAAGTGTGAAAAGGGCTGTAGAAGAGAAAAGATGAGGCTACGGCTGCCACCAGAGGCCCAGTGCTGCCCGGTATCAGAGGGGCCTCTCCTAAAAGTTGACCAGAGGGGAGAGAAGGGCTGGTGCCGTGGGGTGGGAGGGATGGAGAACATTCCAGGTAGAATGAATGCACAGAGGCCTTGCAGGAGCCAAACAGTGTGGTGGGAGCCAAGAACCGGAAGTCCAGGTAGCCAGGGCACCAGAGTGAGGGGAGAGGAGCTAGGATGCGGCTGGAAGTAGGAAAGAGAAAGTCAGGCGTGGGCCCTGAAGGCTTCCTGCCCAAGTGTGGATCTGGCTTTAGTCTCAGCACAACAGGAAGTGCTTGGAGAGGACTTAAGAAAATACAGTGATTTTGTCTTAAAAACTGAATGTTCATGGTGTGATAGGAGATTGTGTAGTGGTCTAGTTTGAAAAATGATGGTGGCTGAGATCCGGTTGCCGGGGGTGGAGATGACTATTGGATGGATTGGAGACATTTTTGAAGACAGAATGCATAGGGCTTGATAAAAGGGTAACTGTGGGTCTTTGAAGGAGAGGGGAATCATGAACGACTCCCAGACACTTGTTCAGGAACTGGGTGGATGGTGATACCATTGGCTGAGATGGGGATGACATTCTTTTTCGGGGAGAAGTTCAAGAACTCACTTTAGACGGGTGAAGTTCGTTAAATGCTACTCTGCTATCTACCTGTTAGCATCAGGCAGAAATTCACACATAATTGGAGAGCTCAGAAGAGGGTGAGGGCAAGAGTATAAATCTGGCCATCCTTCACAAACAGATGCTATTGAGAACTGGGTGAACAGTTAAAAGTATCAGGGACAGAGAGTATTAGATCAAGAAGAGAGAGCTCACCACACAGGCCAGCTACTTCAGAGGGCAAGGTGTGCAGAGTGTCTTGGGGAAGGAGGGATCAACCATGTTGCATGTGGGTCAGAAATGCAGTGAGTCCAGGTGCGTGAAAGTCATTAGCAACCTCAGCAGGAGACGTCTCCTTGGATGGGTGACAGCAGCAGTCACCAGGGAACTGGAGAACAAACAGGTGGTAAGCTGGTAGAGTGACTCCACCATGAAAGATGGACGCTTCATCCCTCAGAGACAGGCTAGCTTGAGATGTGGTGTCAGGAGAGCATGGGTGTCCGCTGACTTGTAGCTGGGATGGGTCTGAAGGGGGGAGGAGAGATGGAGAAGGAGAGAGGGGGCAAGCCAAGAGCAAAGCTGGGAGATGATAAGCTAAGGCCATACATGGAGGCAAAACTCAAAAACCAGTCAAGACATGTCCATAATCAGCAAAAGCCACGTAAACGTCAGATCAAGAAATGTTAAATGAATCTTAGACAAGATAAATAGAAACAGTCTATAAGTTATGTAGATTGCAGTCAATCGCAGAACGCTAAAAGACAAGCAAACTTAAAAAAATAAAAAAATACTCCACCAGCAAAAGGACAGCAATTAGGCAAAACCAGGCTCTTCCTCAGCCAAACGGGATGAGATGATCGAATGTGAGCAGGGGTAAAATACAGATATCTCAGACAAATGCCAAGAATTTCCACTCGCAGATCTTCACCCAAAATACCAAAGGATGTACTCCTGTGAGAAGAGAGCTGAACGTAGGAGGAAGGAATAGGATTTTAAGAAGCAGTGGTGAGCAAGAAAACAGATATGATCTGCATAAAACAGTGAGAAGGTTTCAGGGCTCCTGAAACAGGACAAATGGAATTCTTAAGTTAAAAACTACATAAGGGAATTACACTTTATCAGGCTAATAAAAAGGAGAGGAGAAAAAAGCAGTAATATAAAGCAGTGAATATAGAAAGATGATCCTTATAGTTCACCATTCACAGTAAATATAAGTGACTAACTCATCAAAAACACACATTTTCGGCTCATATTTTTAAAAGAATCTCTTAAAGAAAAACAGTCTTAAATGAGAGAAATGTTGAAATTAAAAACATACCAAATGCTAGTCAAGAGACACCCAAAGTGGATCAAATATATAAGCCTTATTAGGATAAAGATGGCCACTTTATAAGACTTACTTTTG